TTCCCTCAGTTTCGGACTGGCAGTATCAAGGAACACATAATAACCTGAAGAGGTATCCCGGATTCCTGGGAGAAATTTTAAATTTCTCGTTTCCTCAGTTTCCGACTTTAGTATCAGGAACATATAATAACTGAAGGGTATCCGGGGTTTCTGGTGGAAGATTTGAAATTTCTCATTTTCCAGTTTTCGAACTTTGGTATTAGGAACACATAATAACCGAAGAGGTATTCGGAACTTTTGGCGGAAAATTTTAAATTTCTCATTTCCTCAGTTTCGGACTACAGTATAAGGAACATATAATAATTGAAGAGGTATCTGGGATTTCTGGTGGAAAATTTAAAATTTCTCGTTTCCTCAGTTTCGGACTTTAGTATTAGGAACATATAATAAATGAAGAGGTATTTGGGATTTCTGGTGGAAAGATTTAAATTTTCTCATTTCCTCAGTTTTCAAACTTTGGTATTAGGAATACATAATACCTGAAGAGATATCCCAGATTCCTGGCGGAAAATTTTAAATTTCTCGTTTCCTCAGTTTCGGACTACAGTATCAGGAAACACCATAATACCTGAAGAGATAACCCGGATTTCTAGCAGAAAATTTTAAATTTCTCGTTTTCTCAGTTTTCGAACTTTGATATTAGGAATACATAATAACCGTGGAGGTATTCGGAACTTTTGGCGGAAAATTTTAAATTTCTCATTTCCTCAGTTTCGAACTACAATATCAGGAATATATAATACCTGAAGAGGTATCCTGGATTTCTGTTGGAAAATTTTAAATTCCTCATTTCCTCAGTTTCGGAGTTTAGTATCAGGGATACATAATGACCGAAGAGGTATCCGGGCTTTCTCATGAGAAAAATGAAATTTTCGTATTCTCTCAGATTTCGGACATTAGTATTAGGAACACATAATGATCTAAGAGTTTCTTATTTAAACAGAAATTATTTAATAAAACAATGTCGTAAAAATTTCACGATTTAATGAATTTTGATTAAGGGAATATAAGTATAGAAGTAAAGGAAATATTCAATCTAGATCAGGATATTATTTGTAGAAGGATAAAAAAAGCACATAGTTCTATTTTTGAATAATAGAAAAGTCTTTATTGATTATAGAGTTACATATTACAATGGTAATAAGAATGACAATGGTGAATGTTGATGACAGTAATGGATGATAAGGGAGAATAATGATGAAATTATGGTGTAAATCGTCCCTCCAATATAAAATGCTAAAATTTATATCGCCGGTAATAAGAATACATTTCTGAATGTCCGTCTCAGACTTTGGTAGCCTTGGATATGTTATACTGTAGTTAAAATAAGAGACAATATCTTTGTACGTTATAAAATTTTATATGACGATTTTTATATATTCTGTGCTATTTCTAAAATATTCATTTATAATCGACATCATCGAGTTTCTTTCGGGAAGCTGTTTCAACTGGATATGCAAGGAAATGTGTGTAAAGAAATATGTCTCTCCTTTTTAACTACTCCATAGTATATCCAAAATCAAAGTCAGTGATAAATACGTACAAGTGTTTTCTTATAAGACTGTACCAAAAAACTGTTTCTTACTAATTTTTCTTTTATATCTTCTAATTGTTTAGAACCTCCTTCGTTCGCAGGCGCAAAAGTACGAATCGGAGCACAGAGATTCGCGTGACGAACGATATAAGAGTTAAATTGATACGCCTTATTAACATATAATTTCTGATATTCGAATAAATTACAAAATAGCAAAAGATATTCTCAAGTGATACGCAGCTTGTGAGCGCGGTAGAACCCTTCCTCGCAGAAATACAAACAACGAACAATGGGAGGGATCGATGGATTGTGAGAGGATAGAGCTGGGGGAGTGGGTATGGAGGAGGGTTTATTCCATTGTGATTTTTATTGAAACACTCTTTACGGTACACAAAGCTATCCTATGATAAGCATTAAGGAAAGTATAAAAAAAGAAAAACTGAACAACTGCTTATGGAATCACAAAGTGGATGTCTTACCTTTCTTACGTTCATTAGACGTATTAACGTGCATACATACGAAGGCACAACGGTCCTCGACCCTTACGCGCTGAGTATTTCGCCGCGAGGACGTGGCCGACGATGTCCTGGCGAGATATATCGATGAGCCAGATCACGCGCGTGGTTCACAGCCGCGTTCTACCGCGGCTGCGGCAAATCTGTTCGTTTCAGCCGCGACTCCCCCGCACTCCCTCGCCGCGGAAGCGCCGCGTGTAAAACGACCAGATCCTGCGTTATTCCACGCGACGCACGCTGATCGCTCGCGCGGAGATCGATCGACCGATCGATCGTGTTCATTCGTTCGCGTGCTCCAATGCCCCCGAGAGAATTAGAAGACTAATTCCAGCCGCGCTAGCATACTAATTAAAAGCGCTTACCAACGGCGCACGACGACGGCGACATCGCCGTAGCTCGGTCTCTGTCGGAGAGGTTGTCCTCCTCCTCCTCCTCCTCCTCCTCCTTCTCCTCCTCCTCTTCTCGGCGCTTCTCGTCGTCATAGCAAAATTACACTCGTCGAGAACGTCAACGTGCGAAATGAGCGCGCGCTCGCCGCACGCTTATGACACACAGAGTTCCGTCGTAAAGGGGACCGAGTGCCTTCTGTAGATTCATTGCGCGATATAATATTTCATGATGATAGAATCTATGCTTCGTATTATAATTCTAAAAAAAAAAAAAAAACTTATTGTACACTCGTAATAGCTAGTTCATCGTAACGAACATATTCTCTCCGATTACCGAACGTCCTCGCGCGTCTCGGCTCATGTTTACGGGAAATTCGCGGATAAATGTTGCTCGGGATAAAAAAGGGTGGGGAAGAGAAAATGATCTGCGATGTTTCGCGGACAGATCTCGTTCCCGAGCTCTTCGAAGAAGGCCACTTGTGGAGATTTCGATTTCTCTCTCTCTCTCTCTCTCTCTCTCTCTCTCTCTCTCTCTCTCTCTCTCTCTCTCTCTCTCTCTCTCGAATATGCCGCATTCTCTTACCGAACAAGGATGACTCTCGGACAAACGATTGAGTGTCGTACGAGTATAATCACACAATTCCGTGTACGACGAGTCCTTCGGTACGTTCTCGCGATTGTCGCGCGCTCCCGTCGAAATCGCACGCAGACGAACGACGTCGTCTCCGTAAAGGCCAACCGCGGTGCTACAACGGTGCAACGGTGTACTCGTACTCAGTTACAACGAGCCTATTCTAATATACTATTGTTTGCTTAACGTGTATTTAAATAATAATCACAAAAATGAGACCAAGGTCCAAACGCGTCCTTTGGTCGGGACCATCGACCGAAAGGCGGTCTCGCACCTGACTTTCGATGATAGTTCGTTCGTGCTGTCGTCCGTGCGATCGCGAGTGTCACGGACGACGCGCTGCTTCGTCGATGGCTTCTTCAAAACGCTGGGACAATACAAGTGGAGGCGCACGGCACGTGGGTTTCCGCGCGTGGCGGCTGAAGATTTCGTGTCGCGCGTCCGGAATTACCTCGCGAGCACAATTGCCGGTGTACGAGAATGGAAAATAATCACTCGATCGATCCGATTTTATTTACGAAAGCGGGAAGCGACTGAGCGCTCGAATTGCCGACACTTCCAGACTGTATCGTTCGTTTTCTACGCGAGACGCGATCTCGTAATTCGCGGTTTCATTACGAGGCGAGATTTTCTCAAGAAGAAGAAAAGAGTCGATTCTCTCGTCGATTTGGTCTCGCGAATTCTTCGACCGATGAGAGAAATATATTTTTCTTTTTCCTTTCCGCTAGAAATCTCTCGTTGTTGATTTCTCGCTCTCCCTCCCTCTCTCTCTCTCTCTCTCTCTCTCTCTCTCTTCCTCCTTCTCTCTATTGCCGAGAGAATACAAGTCCACGTTGGACTTACCTCATGAGACAGCTGATTGCGTTGTGTGACGCGACGACGGTGCATACGGACTGGGGAGCGCTCAGCTTATTCTCTTAAGTTCGAGTTACATACGTGATCACAAGTGCAGGTAGGCAGTGTTCTCAAGTTCTCTTTCTCGTAGCCTGCGCCAATTCTCGGCGATCGACGCTCGAAACGACGACGATTCCGTCGTCGATGCAGGACGGCGCGAAAGTAAAGGACGTAGCGATAACTGATACAGGGACACACTTTGATAATGGAGTAATGGAGTAACTTATCCTTAGCAAACCTAACACAGTAAAGTAGAGTATAAAGTATGACTTAAGTACAACCACAAAACTTGGTCATTATTATGGCATTCGTATCCTTAACTGCGCACAGACGCCGGCGGCCGGACACCTTTGGTGTTCGTCCCGACGGCGCGTCTCTTTATCGGAGAAGACAAACAAAAGAAAAAAAAAAAAAAAAGAAAAGAAAGAAACGAAAAAAGAAGAAGAGACTCCCTCTCTTCTAACTTTTCTTAATCTACTACTCGTGTACGGTGAGACGATGTCGTGATTTACGCGTACGCAAGACGTGTGTGTAACTCTTGAGTCAAATGCGCGATTACACAGCGTGTAAATTCGACCGTCTCTCCTCCTCTTCCTCTTGCTCTACCTTGGCGACCCTCCGGCTCCCATCCTCGGCTCTGACGGTGGGAAGGAAAAGGGGAAGGAAAAAGCACGAAGCGCGCGGCGCCTTGACGCGACTCGTCGAGACGGCGGGAACGGCCGTTTGTGTCTCTTTCGGCCCGAAGAGTGAAGTGAAGACACCATCGCTTTTCTCGCGAACGTCAAAAGGATCGGCTCGCCGCCGCCGAGAGCAAAAATACGCCAGCGGTCGTCATCGATATCTCTCCTCGTCCGTGTGCTCGCGTCGGGCGGAAATCGGCGGAGCCTCCTTCTTTCCTCCGCGGCGAGACGAGGGCGAGCGCGAGCAGCGACGCGCGCTCAACGATTTTCGCCTCGGCTAATTTCCGCGACGTCGAGTCGCGAGAAATCGCTCCCCAAGCGGGAAAGAGAACCAACCGCTCGCGCGCGGCTCTCCTCACGCGGACGCGTCAAGGATTCACGCACGAATCGTCGCACGCAGCCGCGCGATCGCGCGTCCGTCGCACGCGCGATGACAAATCCCGATCGTTGTTATCACCTCGTTATGTGTGCGCTCCGACGGAACACGCCGGTCGCCGCTGCTCGACCTCGTCCGCGTCTGCCGCGCGTGCGCACGCCCGTCGCCCTTTTCCTTCTCTCCCCCATCTCGCCACCTACACAAGATTATTATAATAATTCCCGTCTGCTCGTACCTCTGACCCGAACACAATTCTCTTCCGCTGCGTCGCTATTTTTGATTATTCCGCTTATCGTTAATCGACAATCACAGGAAGTACGCGGCGTTGATCTGGCGCGATGCTTTTGGATTCTTCATGCATGCCGTGTGTACGTGTGTACGCGTGTATATGTGACACGTGTGTACGCACGAGTGTACTCGTGTGTGGTGCGTGCGTGTTTATGAGTATACAGAGCATGGATACATGCGGACGTGAGTGTTGGACGACGAGTTTTGAATGGCTTTCACGGGCGCGATTGAATGAACGCTGCGAGAATGGCGGAGTCAGTCCCGCCGCGGCGGAAAGATTCCCGTCCCTCTGTCCTTTCTTGAGCTCTCGTTGCGGATTTTGATTAGTCGGACGACGTCGGAGATCCACGGCTCCTCATCCGAACCGCTCTTTGCCTTCTTCAGCCCTTCGTCGGTCGAATCTGCAAGCAGAGTGAGAGGCGGATTAAATAAATGAGCTCGAAGAGAATCGAATTTGCGATAATCGAGAGACAAGCGAGAGAGAGAGAGAGAGAGAGAGAGAGAGAGAGAGAGAGAGAGAGAGAGAGAGAGAGAGAGAGAGAAAGGGAGAGTGATCTATTCTAGGCCGAGGTTCGCGACGAATAACGTCGTCGTGGAAATTCCGCGCGACACTTTATGGACTGCCCCTTTTCCGATCGCCGCGGCGGTCGGCTAATGAACAGTTATCGCGCCGCGCCGGCAATAAAACGCGATATACGCGCGATCTCGGCCGACGGAATAAATGGAAATTATATTCCGGCGTTTTACGACACCGTTAATTGGATGTGTCGCGCGCGCGCGCGCGCGTCCCGCACCGATAACTCGGACGCCTTGAACTTGGCGCGAGAAAGTCTCGAGCGACTCGCGCGCGCGCGCGCGCGCTTCGATCATTCGCGGCTCGAGGAAAGCGCGTCTCAGCGGTCTCGTCTCGGCAATTTTTCTAATCGAATCACACACACACACACACACACACACACACATGCACAGCGGAGTAACTTAATTACCGCAGCTTAATTCCATATCGCGGTGGATACGCATTAACCGTTGACCGATGATTAAGCCGTGCTCCTCCGCGAGGTAGAGCGCCGCTCGGACGCATTACGGAGAATTCGGTCCCGCGCGGCGGCAATTACACGCTTCCCGCTAAAATTAGCGGCCCTAATTGGGAAAGTAGCGTGATCGTTCACTGTTAAACAACCGGCAGGCTGTTCTATGTTTAGGCACGGCCGGATACCCGACGCGTACCAATAATTTGACGTAATTTAATAAACGCGACCCTGCTCTCGGTGTACGTGCGCGGGGTCGTGCGACTGTTATTACCGACAGTTTGATCGTATCTCGGTAGTGCGTAATGATGATGCACCTAGTCACCGGCGTATAGTAGCGTATAGTAGCGGCCGATCATCGGTCATGCAAATTGGCGCCGCAGAATGCGGCGGATCTCCTCGCAATGTGTCCCCCTCCTCCTCGCCCTCCTGCTCCTCCTCCTCCTCCTCCTCCTCCTCCTCCTCTTTCTGCTTACATCCCACTTCGAGCCGCTCCACCTGCATCGCGATGCATCGCGCGCTGTATACCGGTTTGGAAAACAGTGTATCGATATTAAACCCACGATCGTTATATTTGTACACCTGTTATTTATTATGCTCACACACACACACACACAAGTTAAACGGGAGGACTTCCACGGCTGTCCTCCCGAAGCTCGAATCTGTGGTAGCCCGGCCGAAGGTAATCCGAGGACAAAGGGCGAGAGAGCGCGGCCGTTCGTTCGACGCCAACGCTCGAACGCACATTGAATTTGCTCTCGAGGATCGCCCGAGAGAGACGAGACTCGACTTCAGCTCTCGTTTTTAGTCACTCGACACGCGGTGGGTTATTCAACCCATTTGCATCTGCAAGCGTAATAACCCGTACATATCACTTATCACCAGTCGCGGAATATTCCGCGAGCCACACGACGTTCGCTTATCACCAATCGCAGAATAATACGCTTACGACGACGTTCACTTTTTTCGCCAATGATATGCGTTAAATGCGCGGTAATTTCGACAGGCCGACTGTTAGTCTGAACGTTTCCGATTTCTGAAGTTAGTTGCGTATTTAGAGCTGTGATGCAAATGGGATTTTGGTACCGCCGCGATTTGCGATAAATTTTCCTCGCCTCTTCTTTGCGCGGAGAATTTTCGCAGAAATATTTTCAACAACAAGGCACGCTGAGGCATGTTTGGGATCTGACGGATTTTCAGATTCTTCGCGTGTACTTCCCAATTATATATGATTCTCTGCGGGTGAATTAAACAATTAATCAAACGCTCTTTAGCTACGAGAAACAATCGTACCAATGAGAAGAATTTTTTTTACGGGACGGAGGAGATATTTCCATTTAGGAGAGAGGAATATTTTTACGTCTGGAGAATTCTCGATTACGGTACTCGCCGTCGCGTTGACGCTGCCTCGCGGTTTAAAATAGAATAGAATTGGTCATGTCGCGTGCGTTTTGTTTAACGGCCCCGCGATCAATCGCGACGTTCCCTAACTGGGTCGATCGCACGAGCACGAGTGTCCGTTAATTTCGTCTCGTCGTCTCGCGCGAAAACGAGGCCATAAATTCGGCCGTAACATCCGACGCCGCAAAACGCGATGATCACGGTCGCTCGCGTTCACAGACGCGAGCGACTTTGCGGGGATAAGGAGGAAGGAAAAAAAAAAAGAGGAGAGGAGAATCCGCCAGTTAGTGGGTTAACGTCCTCGGGCCCAATGGACGAACGTTAAACAGCGGGACGACGATATCGGCACGCTCTTTCATTACGAAATGAATTTCGTTCAATGTTACTGCCCAAGTATTTAAAGCACCGCCTTAAATCTTCGGGACTTAATAATCAGTCTGAAGGCTCGTAATTCTCCGACCGCGCGCAGACGGTGAGCGGCGAGGAGGGAGAGAGAGAGAGAGAGAGAGAGAGAGAGAGAGAGAGAGAGAGAGAAAGAGAGAGAGACCAGACCGAGCGGAAGGGACCAGGGCCGGCAACGTTTGAAGGGCGTCGAGATGTAAAAGAACCGAAACGACAGAAATGTCGAGACGTGCGACGCTTGAAACACACACACACACACACACACACACACACACATACACACGTTACATTATTAAACGGCCTTTGTCATCGGGCCGTCTCTTAACCCCCGCGCGAAACTCGTCCATTCGAAAACCGCTCGCGGAAATCACGATTGCGATAGTGGCGAGGGAAAAAGGAGAGAATGCGCGAAAGAAAAAAGGAATGAAGAATCGTAGGCCTGCCGAAGCTTGGTTGGTATTTCGAGCAGCGCGATACCGCCGTGCCTCGTGAAACACATAACGCATAACGTGTAATTAATGACATGTAAAAACTCGGGGCTGTACGGCCAATAGGCAGCCGACGCGAGACGGACGCAAAACACATAGCCGAGTGACAGTTATTTACGGTATCCCCGCGGTAATTCAATTATCGGCGGAGCTCTTGTGCAATCAACGGCGGAATCGAGGCGACGGCAGACGTGTTAATTGAATAATTAAAGGTGGGGCTCACCCGGGTGCGCGCGGTCGGTTAACGAGGGGGTTTCCACCGGACGGTTTCGGAGAGACGAAGCTGAGGCCAGAGTCCTGCGCTGTGACCGAAAGCGGGGGATCGCGATGCGGCCCCCCTCCCCCTCCCCCCCGCCCGCCGACAGAGTACGGGCGTGCCGAGATCGAGGTTCGTACCGAGGCGACGGAAAAAGCACAACGAAAGAGACGCGCGCGCGCGCGCGAGTCCGTGTTTCGAGGCTGAGTTTCGTCCCGGGCGGCAATTAAGCATGCCGATAAATCCAAGCTGTGCGAGCGGGCGAAAACCGAGGCGAGGGGGAAGAGAAAGAGGAGGAGAGCAGCCCGGCTTGTCTACAATGCAGCCGCGATGTAGCCCGAACGCAACGTACACGCGCTCCCGCATGAGCGTTGTTTATCACCATCCTCGCCACATTGCAATTACGCGCGTCGCGGGCCGTAAAAGATTTCGCGCATACGCGATCGTAAAAAGCGGCAAGTTTTCGCCAAGGTCCGCCGTGGATCCTCCGCCGCCTCCGCCGCTGCCGCCGCTGCCGACGCGCTGCGCTTCCCGGTGGTGGCCATCGATTTAATTCGAGGTAATTTATAATTGACCGCGGAACTCCCCCCCGTCTCTCTCTCTCTCTCTCTCTCTGCCTTTTGTTTGCATTTACGAGCGAGCGAACGAGCGTACCTTTGTTTGTTCACGGCGCGACGGCGGCGCGTTTCGCGAATTTTTCCCGACGGAACAACACACGCGCGCGGTATCCGTACGCAGGATCGACTCGACGGGGTCTGTCTGAGATCCTGTTACGGGAGACGCGAGATCTCTATCGTCGCTCCTCTCACTCCCTGGGAAGGCGCGTTGATTGTTCATTAAAATGTTTCGGGCCATTCTCGTAGTCGTCTCTCCTCTTGTGCTATCAATATGAAGTTCCACGCGTCTCCGTTGGAGCCGGGAACGGTGAGCGAGAGCGCGAGAACGCGCATCGGCGCGCGATACGCGCGGCGAAACACGCTCGCTCCGGCGTGCTCCAGAAATTCCTTCCTCGCGAGGGAGGGAAATTAGAGTTGCGAGCGCGGCGGAGAAAGCAATTATCGCGCGGCGGCTTGTGGCAGTTGCAATTACATTTTTCCCGGATGACAATGATGAATTATGCTGAAACGTCTATTACGGCCGATTACAAAGGTCATCCGGTGAAAGCGCGCGGTAATTAATATCGATCGATACCGGGATACGCTTCGATAATAATTAGCCCGCGCTAAAATCCTCGGCGGGATCGCGTAATTGCAGCATGACGCAAGCGGAACGCGTTCCACCGCCGCCGCCGCCGCACGATACTTTCGTTCGTCAATCTTCTCGAGCGAGGCGAATCTCGCGCGCTTGGCTTACGGCCCCCAAAGAGAACGGGACGCGGATACTCGGCTTTTCGGAGCTCGATCTCGCCGGAGGATTGCATGGGCTCGCTTTTCCTCGGAATCGCTGCCGATGTGTTAAAGAATCACGTTCAATGGAGGGCAAGCGAATTCCGATTCCGATTCCGACATCTTATCAACGCGTCGACTCCGACCAAGTATGCGAGCAATCTTCCTCAACTTCTTCAACGGAGAGCGAAAATCAGGATTCCAATCCATCCATAACTCGACATGACGACGCAAATGTTCGTTTCTTACACCCGCCAAAAGTATTCTATTTGTAAAGTGATTTTTCCCGTAGTCTCATATCCTCTAAGCGAAGACCTTTGCAGGAAGAGGATTCCTCTTTCGATAAAGCGATTAAAATGATTCCATTCTTCTAAAATTTATTAGATACTATTCTAACTGTTTTCCTCTTATTTCGAAAGGATTTCCTCTTATACGAAGAGAAAT